TTTAGGAAGTTAGGGTTTAGGGGTTTAGGGTTTAGGGGTTTAGGGTTTCTTGAAAAGTAGAATCCTCAATAACTAGGCACATGGGGTTCTGTGTGGGGCATTGAAGAGGGTGTATAGATAGGTGAATTGCGGCACCAAAGCCATAAACCCTAAACGGATCCACGAGATGTGCAAGATCTCGACTGAGCGCTAATGCTTGAGAAGGAGAGGCTGGGACGTGGCGAGGTTGTGGCATCAGCTTACGCCCTTAACCCTCATGATTTATAAACCCTAAACCCTTATAATGTATAGACCCTAAACCCTAAACCTTGTCACTTGCAATGCAAGATGCAAGGCGTGGGAGGATGCAGTGGACCAGGTTTCGAGCTTTGAGGTCCTTCATGTGATGGTCTCGAGTCTTTACGGGCAAAGACATCTCGGCATAGTATAGTCGACTATTATATTCGAAACTCTAAGGGTCTAGGGTTTAGGGTTCAGGTTATAGGGGCTCTAATGGGGGTCGTAATGGTAACTGTTCAGGCTTCTATATCAGTCCCATTCCAGACCCTCGACCCGGAGCCAGATCCAGCGCTCAGTGCTTCGGGAAGAGAGGGTTTAGGGTTTACCTAAACCCGCAAAGGTAGATAAAATAATGGCCCAAAACCTATAACGGCTATTATTATACATACTTTTGGGGTCCAGGTAGACTCGAACCCTAACCCAGGCGCCGCTGTCCCTGAATCAGTATCCCTGAAATGCTGAACCCTCAAGTCTCGTAAGACCTAACCACCCTTGGATCCCTAGCCCTCCACGCGACGATTTTGGGGGTTGAGGGCTTCGGACAACAAAGGTGCCCATGGAAATCACCGATTCGGCGCAAAGACACGGGAAGACCGGACTGAACGAAGATCAACCATATCAGGTGCACTCGCTGATGGAATCCATGAGGAATCTATGAGTTGAGGAATCTCTCGTTTCGTGAAAGATACGTAGCTACAACGAGTTTAGGCTTCATGGTTTAGAGCGCCCAAATCTGAGCCCACAACCTGCGACCTGTAAGACCCACACCATGAAATCACTCAATCCGAATTCCTATGTCCTCAGCCCGACAAACCCCAAAGAACTAAAACCCCAAAGCCCCCTAAGCCCTAAACCCTAAACCCCTAAACCAAAACCGGCTCACATTTTTCATGGGGAGTCGGAGTGCTTTGCTCACACCTCGAGTTTCGAGGACCTGTTGGCCCCACATTCCTCGTCGACTTCGTCGGGAAGCCTTCAGTGTGAAGAGAAATGTGTACAGCGAGGCATCTCACCCCAGAGAGACGGCCGCATTAGTATATATGTGTGTAAGGGCCTTTGATGTTCTGCCAGTGAGAGCGGCTGTCTTGATGATGACGTTTCGGGTTGAGTTTTAGAGTTTAGGATTTAGGGTTTGTAAAGGATGATGCTCGAGATCTGCATGCTGCTGTCAGGGCCCATGCAACGAGCTAACTGGTTCCAAAGTGCTCCATGTCTGTGTTCTATACTGCCCGATTGAAATCCTGTCTCTGATGAGCTGAGTAGCGCACATCCTGACCCCTCACTGGCTCGTCCCCCTAAGTTCCCCAGGAACCCTACAGCATCATACACACGATGTCTGGAAGTTTGAGCCCCAGATGCCCGGATCCCTCAACATCTTGCACGATGCTGCAGGGGCCTTAATAATTAGAATATGGTTTTGGGTTATAGCAGAATATACCCCCAAACCCTATTCTAATTATTAAGGGTCCTATGTTAAGCAGCTCAGTCAGCACAGGGGGCATGGGACAAGACGGTCAGGCTACTAGAAAGGCCTTCATAATAGAACAAGGCTTTGGGGTCTTATTGTATGGCATATATATATATATA